TTAAAAATGATATTTGAGGGAATTACCCTTTAAAAATTGTTATTTTTAAATTAGATTGAATAATTTATGAAGTATCATTTTTAGTTTTATTACATGTGTAAGAGTGTAAGAAGTTAAAATATAAAAATTCTTGATGCAATTATAACTTGTACTAAATAAAATTTATAAACTAGAATATTTTTTCCCTTAAATATACAGAGAAAAATTTAGATGTTTTAAATCTAATAAGAAAATAATAGAAATGCAATAGCACAGTGGTAATATTGTATCATGTTCGTGAGACCACAGTTCGATTCTCAAGAGATGTGAACTTTTTAGAATTTCCTCCATAACAAAACGATGTCGTTTTATCTAATATAACGATTGACTAACGCGCGTTAGTCAATGTAGGTTTTCATGCAACGGATTAAAGTTTGAGTCAAAAATTTAAATAAATTCTTAGCACATGTTTAATTTTGCACTTATGATTTGTTTGGGTACAAAACATACACAACACGAAATGTTGGGGTCGACAAATGTACTTTTCCCCTAAAGTGTGTTATATTATTTTGAGTTACACACTTTTAGTTACTCTTTATAAAAATGTTTCTTTCCCGTCCTAAAACTATATGGTTTCAGTTTTTTTACACTCTTGGTTACATTCTCATAAAATAGTTTTACTTAATTTTCTAGATAATTTTTTCTTTCTTTCTTTATAACTTTTATATTTTCTTTTAATGTAATAAAAACTATAAATTATCAATTTCTCTCTAAAAATTACTTCCGTTATTTTTAACTTTTACATACTTAGATTAAAATAAAAGGAATGAAGGTTCTTATAATAAAATTATTGTATACAATATATAAGTGATAAGGTTACTTAAACTAAATAACTTACTTTATCAAATTTAATTATAAAACATTAAGACTTTTTAAATTTCTATCATTCATTCAAAAATAAGATTTAAAATTTTAATGACTAATGTAAGTTCAAAACATATTATAATATAATTCACTAAATTATATTTAATATTTTAATGTATATATATGTACATTTTTTTATGATGCCACACTTTAAATTATCTTCTGGATCCGCTCCTGAGCATACACCAAAAAAACAAAACCATCGAACAAATTAACCCTTACAAGAAAAGGTTCAATAATCATCAAATGGTCCTACTTCAAATCCCAAATGAAGGGAAGGAGAGCGAATGAAGCAAAGGAAGAGCAAGCGGCAAAGATCAACTAGAAACTCTGGAGGAAAGCCAACTACACCACCACAAATGCACCGCCAGAGACAAAAATCGAATAGATCTACCTAGAAGAACGTGAGTCATCAAAATCCAAAGACG